AACTAAGCAGAGCAGCTGAGGACTGGGGTCTTGGAGATGTCTCATTCACAGGGTCAACTTGGGTTAAAATAGACTTGAGGGAGATTAACAACAACAAAAACTGCAAATTCCAGAATGCAACAGGAGGCAGCCAGAGCAGTAAAAGTGGGATAATAGCACTATAATAGCATAGTGTGATATCATAGTTAATTATTTCCTGATTGTAATCTGTCCATCAGATTATCTTGTAGACTTTGATGTTGAGGGTGAAAGCATTAGGTGTTAGGATTCCCAGCTTGAAAGCCACTGGGTGACCTTGGGTAAGTCACCTGCCCTCAGCCTCAGGGGAAGGCAATGGCAAACCTCCTCTGAAGAAACTTGCCAAGAAAATCCCATGATAGGTTTGCCATAAGTCAGAAAGACACACAACAACAAGCAAGGGTACTGTCAGTCCCTTTTCCCTTTATTGTTGTTTGTTTGTTTGTTTTCTGTTCTGCTTGAGTTTATAACAGGAATAAAATACCCACCAAGAACTTTCTTGGAACTGCTACATTAGCTCCTAGGCTTGGCCATGTAAACACACTGGGTGACCTTGGGCAAGTCACACACTCTCAGCCTCAGACAATGGCAATGGCAAACCCTCCATCGAAATCTTCCAAGAAAACTCTGATAGGTTCACCATAGGGTTGCCATAATTTGGAAATTATGACTTGAAGGCACACAACAGTAGTTGCACAGTTAATCATCTTGCTTTTTTACTTAGGGTGATGGAAAAAAAAAAAACATTGTTCAAATAAAATACTGTATTTTAATTCATACATGCTAAGTAAGCCTCAGTTGTGTTTGACATTTGTATACAGAGTGAGTCAAAAAGAATTACAGAAAATTGAATAAGAACAGTTTTTCTTTTGCATCATTTTTTAAAATCACGCTGTACTTTAACTCTGGTATAATTTTCTAGCATATTTAATTACTGGATTTACCTTTTCCTTTTTTTTATAGCTATAATTGAAGACTATGTACTCCTTTGTTGGTGAATTTAGTTTCCCCCGTGTTACAACTGAACCAGTACTTCTGATTATACAAGGCTTCTAAAAGGCTTGAAACTGTGCAATGCAGCTGTTACTTAACATGGCCTTGGGACCTCCTTTTTTTAGTCTTCCTGACTCTGCTTGTTCTTTCATTTGCAAAATCTGCTCTAGCTATACAGGCTTGACCTGGATTCTGCACAGTTTTGACAATTTAGTCCCCCATTTTCTATCTTCTCATTTTATGTGGTCCTTTGTAAATGTGTTTATAATTTTATCATTGCTTTATGCTACATATGGTGCTGTATCTTGTTTATCAGCTCACATTTCATTGTTCTGATGACAAATTTGCTATCCAGTACCTGTAAGCAAATGCCACCTGTTAGGTGACCCAAGTGTCCTGGCAATATGGATCATATTCAGGAATACTCTAGATCTAGAATGCTAGCTGTAGAGACACACCTGATCTAGTACTTGTTTATATTTCTGGATTCATACAAAGGTTTTTAGGAGGCACTTCCTGACCGTAAGGGCTGTTCAACAGTGGAACACACTGCCTTAGAGAAGGATGGAGTCTCCTTTAGAGGTCTTTAAACAGAAGCTGGACAGCCATCTGTCGGGGATGCTTTGATTGTGATTTCCTGCATGGCAGAATGGGGTTGGACTGGATGGCCCTTGTGGTCTCTTCCAACTCTATGATTCCATAATTCTATGATTCTATGGAAGTATTGCTCTGTCACATCTGGTCAACATTTTGTCTAATGTAAAGGAGACTATTGCACTCGGTTATAAACCAGCTTACCTGAGTCGACTTAAAATTAGAAGCGGGTGGCATCCTGATAGTATCAGACACATTCAGCCATTGAAATTGCCACCCGGCTGCAGCCCAGCTCCATCACTGCTCCAAGGGGCGCTCCTCGTGCCTCTTTCCGAAGCCAGGAGTTTTCTGCCTTGAAAACATGGCCACCAGAGTGCCCCTTCGAGAGATGAT